AACGACACGACTGGTGGGACGACAGGTGGGAGTTCTACAGACGGAAGGGGGAAACGGAAAGAGGAGGGGGGGATCGAACAGAACGTGCGGACGCCAGCGTGCGGGTTGGCTCGCGAGGCCGCGCGCTAGAGCCCTTCCTCTCCACGCGCAATGCTACGCTGTTGGCATGCGTAGGCTTGTCGCGTGAAGACGCCACGCCCCATCCCCACCCATTCACCTTTGTCCCTTCCTCACTCCCGCCGTCCCTTCGTCCCCCCACATATACCCTATCTATATGTCTGTCTATCTGCTGTGAAGGCGCCTGTCGATGCCAGGCGCCCCAAACAAAAAAACACGGCTAGTGTTTCGTTCCCGTCCGGGACGTATTTGCACCAGCGGGTTGAACAAGACTAATCCTGGAGAGACAATGCGGCAGCTCCCATCTCTCTCCCCAAGTCAGGTCACCTAATTGCGCGTCCAACGTCGGGCTCTCCTCCCCCTGGACGACTACTTCCTTCTTAACACTTCTGATGAGAGCCAGGAGATCCGAAGGCGCTGTCTCACGGCGGTCAGACGCCCTCTACCCAGCGTATTGCTTTGTCCAGCTTGGGAAGAGGCCCTGAAACGGACGGTTCCTCTGTCTACTGAGGTCTTTGGAGGGGGATCGGCTCGGGCAGCGCTTGCAAAGCGAGTCAACCCCCGCCAAGCATAGCCCCCGAGTTTGATGCACGACATCACCCAGCATATGTGGGCGGCACTGGGATGTCCTGGTCGCCGGCCTCCGACTTTCCAGGAAATCCCTGAGCGTCGGCCCACGATCTCTGACTCATCAGCACGTCCTGGACACCGCCCCATCTGACAACATCCTCCTGCAACTGCGCAAGCTTCTAAAACAAAGCTTTAGCCTGCGCAATGCTAGTGTGGCAAACCGCGCCTTCCTTGAAAACCTGTCAGCATGCCTGTTGCCCTCTCGTTCGAAGTGTGACGAGCGGCCTTCTGCAATATCGTTAAAGATCGCGTGAGCCTTCGTTTTGTTGGCCCTGAGGCCATCCTCGAAGACATGCCAAACTCCGGACCAAACGTAGGCCCCCGGGTTGTTGGCCGAAATGGAGGCCTGGCGATCCCAAACACGCCCAAGAGTCCCTACACAGTCCGTGTAAGAAAACGAAGGCCGCCATCATGTAGGCAGAGTCCTTTCCCTTTCGAGCCTGTTGCAGGGGAGCTACTTGCATGGGCACTGTGAGTTGGGGTCGAGGGGCCGATCCATCCGTGAAAAGATCGCCAGACAATTTACCATTTGGTGGTTTATCAAACCAATGTATGCGGCAGTCACCCTCATTCAGCGCAGGTGGTACACGCTCACAGGGGCCTGGCAACATCCCAGCAACAACCTTTTCAATATTCTCTGGCAGAGATCCCGAGCTCTCCTCGCTGCCTTCCGTACCGACTGTGTGAGGTGTTCGTGCTTGTCCGCGTCGAAGATTGGGCACTGGAGCCTCCTATTCTACAACATTCTTGGGGCTCCTCGACAGATCTGGCACTCGTGTCTTTTAACAATCCTGTGTTCAAACAACCTAAGCAGAGTCCAGGTTCCCAAACCCCGTCCCAGAGATGAGGCCTGCACCAAGCTTTGTTCAACCAAGTTCTATGCTTCAACGCCTTCACATCCGCCCTGTGTCCTGCGTCGATGGCCGCCAGGTCGCACGCGGCCCGCGGTCCTAGAGCTAACACAGGGCGATGTGATCCACATCAGATTTGCGGAACGCGCGAGCAGACGCGGGTAGTCATCTTATCTCGGCCAAGTGAGCAGCAGCACATGTGCAGGCGAGGTGGCAGTGACCCACGGCTTGCTCAAAGCAGGAACTTGATCGCGTGCTTGCTTAAACACAAGTTCCATGGTTTCCAGCATTGGGGAACCGCCCCAGATTGACGTTGTCCACTGACACACAACCTCTGTGTGATGAGCAGCATAAGGATCGTTGCGCTTGCCGAGTTTGAAGACTTCAATCTGCATGAGATAAGGGCTCCAACGTTCTGCTTACACAAGCCCCTGCATGCAGAGATCCTTAGTGAGTGCACCTGCCTGGGAGTCAGCCCAGCCACTGCGGCACTCCATCCAGCTTCAGGTTCAGCACGACGTATGTTACCCACAGCTGCACCGACAGCATTTAGCTTCCAAAGCCTCCGACATCTCCTCCCAGACTTCCTGGGCCCCTTGAGCGATGCATGATTCCCCCTTATCCTTCTGCAGACGGCGTCACACCACAGGGACCTGACCGAGATCTGATTGTCCAACTGCAGAGACTTCCAAGACTGCCCCAATAGTTTGACAATGTCCTGGGAGGAGGCGAGGCGGTTTGTTTTCTTACCTGAGACGATCAACTCAAGGTTATCAAACCCGTCTTTGATTTGGACACCCGCGACTCCAATATGTTCAACGATACATTCGACTGTGCCCAGCTGCTGCGACGAGACATCTCCGATTTCGTTCCCAATATGCAGAGGTGGGTATCTGAGAACCAGAGCATGCAACACGCGATGCAAGACAGTCTTAGCAAAGCTCGTGGCCAAGCTGCAGCCTGCTAAGATCGTGCCATTGACGCAGAAGGTATTCGAGCATGCTCCAGCAAATGTGATGCGACGGGGTCCAGTATTCAGGGTGATGGCAGCCATGGTGCGACCCAGGAGAAATCCTCCTTCCTTGCCTCGTTAAATATGATCCCCAGCGCCACTCTCCGAGAGAACTTGTCAAGATCTTCGCACAAGGTGGCAGATCCAAATTGACGTGGTATCGCAAACTCCGTGAGCATCGAATGCTGCCAGCCCGCTCGGTCACATTCTATGCTTCAGGAAAAAGGGGCTCGATGACTGAGCTTCCATGCGCGTGCTTTACATTGGCGCAACCGACCCCAAAACCTAAAAAGCGATAAAATAGCGAGAGTGTGCGCAATCCAGCACTCTTACGTTTACCTTGAAAAACGGTGATGGTGGGGGAAGTATTTGATATCACAAAGTCATCCTTCTCCCCGGAACTCTTAACGTCAACCAGCCTATCCAGGAACATATTCCGTCAATCCGTCCAGGAGTTGGGATTAAATTGATCAGCCCCGAGTCTAGAATCATGTTTGAACTTGTTGATGGCCCACAGTCTGATTTGCCTAGATGGACTGCAAATGGGGCTCCGCGTCCTTGCCGAGCTCCGTGTGCTCTTGCGTGAGACAAGAACGATTGTGTTGCCAGTAGCTGTCCCTACTCTCTCTCTGCAGTGCCTCGATAGCTTTGTCTCCCTGAGGTGTCCGTCCCTCGGTGCTGCTGGGTCTGGGATCTGCCTCTGGCTTCTTCTCCTTGCAGCGCGCGCGCGGAGTTTTCGGCAATTGGGTGATCGTGGATCGAACGGGCAGCTGGCAGAAAAATGCCAATTTCGCGACCCGAGGTGGATTCGATCGATGGTGCAATTGCACTAAGTTGAGGCTGCAGGGCCTGTTCGTCCAGCGTCAGTAGACCGGCTCTGACTTCTGCCCAGGGCATCGACTTGAAAAACATTGTTTCGATGCATAACCCAGGCTTAGCGAAAAGCGCCACTGGCGATCGCAATGCACCAAGCCGAGGAGTAGAGTTAGAGGACAATGTGTGACGCAGGACGACCTCGAGTGAGAGAACCCTCCGCTGGGACCCTTGGGACCTCCCAACATAAGCGCCCCTGGTCCCCCCAACTATATAAGATAGCACACATTGCTCCAACTCAGCATTATCAAGCCACTGCTCCCACGACTCCAGGAAACCGACATTGGCATCGCCGACTTCAAACTTCCAAAGGGTATCCTCGGGCTTCCTTTCACAACCTATCGGGCTATTGGTGGGGAACTTCTTGCTCTTGATCCTGACATGGGCGGGCATGGACAAGCGAATCCCATCCACAGCTCGACAGGCGAGTGGGGGCTGATAGGCGCGTCGTGGAGCACCTCGACGCTACCAATACACTGGCTCAAGCCGTGTGACAGCAAGAACAAGTCGAGGGCGTTGCCAGCTCATGCCGAGCAGGCGGCTAATGCCAGCGCCACCGCCATCGCTCACACTTGGGAGCACCATGGCGTGAGGCCATCACAGTTCGGGTCCACGTTGGCGTCGCAACCTATGATCCAGGGCACCGTGAGGGACCGAAGGAAGCTGCCGAGGCCCACGAGCAGAGCAGCTCCGCATTGTCGCCTTGAACTCCGACGAGTGGTGGAAATAAACAGGAACCCAAACCAGTCCACCAGGAGTAATCACCTGAACATGTCTAGCAATAAGCCTTCCAGCAACTTGGGGGACTTTGAGGAGCTCCTTGGGCGCCAGCATCATCCGGTTGATGTCTTCGACCTCCTGCCAAGACACCTGCAGACGTGGCCAGCACACGTTCGCCATTGCGAACAGCAGGGCAAAAGTCTACAGAATGACTTTTCCTCCTCGAGACATTCTTGTAGTTCGTGCTCGTATCATCACAAGTCATTCTCGCTTCCTGGCCAGCGAAGACCTGAGGTTTCGGATTCCGCCCATCTTCCAAACGCCAATCTAAAACAGTTTCCAGGATTTCCAGATGTTGGCATTGCACGAGGGATATCTCCACACCCGATTGCTCCTGACACGTGCTGGGTGAGCTGCAGCTGGTGCATCATTTCAGGCTGTAGCGATGTCCACGTCGCGGCGCTTGCGCAAAAAGTTATGGGCGAGCTCGCTGCACGCCTAGTAACAGAAAAGGGAGGCCATCGCGTCCTCCGAGCCGCCAAGATCATCCCTGGTATCCAGTCGCATTCGATCGTGAAGAACCTGCCCATGAAGATCGCGCGGTTCAATTGGAACACGTGGTACGTTGCGGCGCTCATCCGGCGATTCCCCTACGCCGGGTCGCTCACGCGGATTCGAAGGTACACTGGCAGTTTCATGCGACTCGCGCGCGGGTTTCGTCTGCGCAGGAGTCTCCCCCATTATCTCAAGAGCGAAGAGTGCGGCACCTGTCGACGCGGCCACTGGTGTAGACGAGCCTATCAACGAAGTCCATGTCTCTGTTGGAGCCTCCAACGCACTGGTGAATTGCCTGTCAGGTCGTACCGCTGGTAGCTGGAACCCTACTTCTGGCCTGTCCAAGTCGATCGTGTTCGAATTCCAGAAGGCAGCGGTTGACTTAGCCGCCTCAACGTTAACATCACGTGGCGATTGTGGCCCCAGGCCCAGCGCGATAGGCGCTGGCTCGGGAGTGCTAGCACTGACCCCTTCATAAGCAAAACACGGCGGCAGTGACCCCAAGTCCAGTTCGGTAGACATTGGCGTGGAGGTGTAGCAAGGACTCCAGCGTGAACGCTACTTGGCGACGTTGACCCCAAGCCAAGCTCAGTAGGCACTGGCTTGGGGGTGCGACCACGTACCCCTGAAGTCGTAGCACTTGATCGAAAACATTGTGATGAGCTCGCTGCAAACTCATCACGATCCTGACCATGGCCATCAAGCCACATGCAGCGCTGCACGGGGATCAGGGAGGGGGCGTACATCATGTACGCCTCGATAGTCTTCAAAAGCTCGTGAAACACGTCACATCTTTGCAGCACTGGCCCAGTTATGTTCCTGCAGCTTCTTCGTAGTTTCCTTAGCAACCAACCTTGCTGCCTCGCGTGCTGCTCCTTCTGCTGCTGCCGCGGCTTCAGCCTCCTGGTGCCTCCTGCATGCGCTGAGTTGCCTTAGCGATTGCGTCGAGCTCGTCGTCATCCTCGCTGGGCACAGCCGGGAGGGGAGGAGCAGCGCCATTGCGAGTGGACGCCGCCTGGGTCTCCAGCATGCCGAGGAGGACCTCGGGACGGTTGCCCGTCTGCTCATTCTGCTTCTTTGTTCGGAGCCAGACATTGAACTCCTCCGTCGCATTGGCGTAATGGTGCTCCTCCATCTTGAGAAAGGGCCCCTCATCAGCAGCCTCGGAATTGGCGAAGCTCACCTTGCTTTCCTGCTCCTGAATCTTCGAATGCCGCTTTGCCTCTTGCAGCCCCTGTTCGGATTCCTCGATTTTCTGTTGCAGAAGCTTCTCGGCATCCTCCACCTCTGTCTTGACGGACTCCAGCTTTGCTTCCAATTTGGTCGATATTTCCCGAGCTCTTGCAAGCGTGGGTAATGGGTGTTGCTGGATGTGCAAGAGCTTGGCCTCCTGGATCTGCCACTGCAGCTTCTCCACCTGCTCCTCAATTATGAGATTGTCCTCTTGGTGGGTTGCGAACCTGGCAGCCTTCTGCCAGCGTGCAAGCCTCTCCTTGATCACCTTGAGGCCGTCCTATTCCTTCGACGCACTTGAGACGGCCCACGGTGGAGTGGAGGAGGCGCCGCCATGTTCCAAGCCCTCGAGGCGCTTGAGAATCGTCCGCAGCGCGGGGTCAGCCTTGGGAGCACCTGCATTTCAAGACCTCTTGGGCGCCGACCGATTAGCCGCGCCTCCCGCCAGTCTTCTCATTCGCTGCCTTGGCTGATTTCTGCACTGCATGTGGGGCATGAGTACCGCAGGCACATTTGATCCGACTTGCCCAAAGCCCCGACCGACGGCAGCGCGTGCCTTTCCAGAAAGCTTTCGTGGCCCCAACAAGTACATCCGTCAAACTCATAGTGCCCTCACGGCGCAGCACCTGCGCACGGAAGGGGCGATGTTCCGACAGGAGCTCACAAAATTGTTTGACAGGCTTGTCCTTTCAGAAAGTGCGTGGCTTGAGCCTGTCCCACCCTTAGTTGCACACAAGCTGAATCCCCCCAGGGCTTCGAGGTTTCACCTTGAGCCAACATCCCTCCCACCTACCCCTTCCACCTCTTTTCCTCCCTCCCTTCCGCCGTCCCTTCCTCTACCCTTTACCCACCTCCTCCCCTCCCTCCCTCCCACCGCCCGTCCCATCTATCCCTCAAACTTCCACCTTCCCTCTTTCTCCCTACCTCCCGCCGACCCTTCCTCTCTCCTATCTCCAGCTGACTGGCGCAGTCCGCGATACATTCCGGAAACATCAGGTATGTGAGCTGATTCGCGCGTGGAGAGCACCAGAGGCGGCGCCGGAGGCGCCGCCAAGGAGCGGGGTCCACCGCCGATCCGAAAAATCCGCGCGGAGTTCCGACAGATTTGTTTCTGCAGTGCGCTCTTTTTCTGAGCTCACCTCATTCCGCCTCCTTGGCGTGGGGGGAGGGGGAAACCCCAGCGAGGGATCAGCGACGCAGGCGCTCGGCGCTCTCCCCGACGCGCACGCCCGCCGCCGCGACGCCAGCCCCCCCCCCCCGGCCAGGCGGAGCGCCGTGCGTACACGGCGGGGAGATATTGGACGGGGCCGCGGGGAGGGCCTCTCCTCGTCCCTCCTCCTCCTGGTCCTCCCCGCGACGCGTCTCTCTCTCCCGCCCCCCCGTCGCCTCTCTCTGCCCCCCCCGCTCCGTCGTTCGTGAGGATCGTGGCGTCGTCGCTCTCGTCACCTTGCTCAGGCGGCACCCCCTTGCCCCTGGAGGGAGCCAGGGGGTCCCCCCTCGAACTCCTGCAGGGGGAGGGGGAGGGGGAGGAGGAGGAGGAGGAGGAGGAGGAGGAGGAGGAGGAGGAGGAGGAGGAGGAGGAGGAGGAGGAGGAGGAGGAGGGGGAGGGAGGAGGGAGAGAGCGAGAGAGAGAGGCGCAGCCATCGCGCAACCGATCCGTACATGAGCGCGAGGCGTATAGGATAAGAAGGCCTTTCACAAATGAAGACGAGCAGCCAGGCGTGTAACTCGTGCAGCCTGCACAGTGTGATCTATCAAGCTGTCGATGGGAACATGCGCCACTGCAGTTCGAGGCGACGAGGGAGCCTAGGAGTCTAGAAGACCCAGAGCGCCCAAACATGCATTCCCGCCGCCTCGGCCCTCCGAAGAGAGCCAGTGCGGCAAGAACGCCACCTCCGCGGTGACGGACGGACGCCCAACGGTCCCCCGGGGGTCGCCACAACCAGAAGGAGCTGGCCATCGCCCCAAAGGCGAAGACCAACTCCCGAGGCCCCACACCCCCAGTCCCAACCAGAAAACGAGCCGAGTCCAGCAGGGCGGGTCCCAGCAGCTCCTGGCCACTAACTAGGCAAAGCGCTCAACCAAGCGGGTCGGCGCGTCGCGGCTCGAACTATGGAGGCATAGTTTCTACGCTCAGCTATAGCTCGGGCCAATCGCGCCTCAAGCTCCTCCATGCTCGGCCCAGCCAGATGCTCCTCCTCGGCAGCCTTTTTTTGTTCCGCGTCCTACGCGCACCCTGGCCTTTGCGTTTCGGCTTCACAGAAAGGCTGTCGGAGGATTCGGCATGCACCAGGTTTCGGACGTCGTTGCCAGTAGAGTTGACACCGACCGCGAGTGCCGTCGATTGGCCCTGCACGCACTCGAACTTCACGTCGTCCACGGGCATGTCCTGCAGCTCATCGTCCTGCAGAGTGGTGCGAGCGAAGGAGCAGTCGTACTCTGCGTCCTCGCCCACACGCTCGAGGCCCTCTTGCTCAGCAGACATCAGCTTATTGCCGTCAAACTCTTCAGTTGTTGTACAGAGTACTCTTCTGAGGGCTCGGTGATGTAGCGAACCTCCTGGCCTTTCGTCCGAAACATGTCAAGGCCAAGCGACACGGGCGCGGCAGCGATGCTCATGCCCGTGATGTAGTAGATTTCGTTGTGCCTCTCCTGCATGCGGGTCACGTGATCCTTAAAGCTGGTCCGATCGTGTCGGCTCTCGTCTTCGAGGTGTGGTAGCACATGAGCTCCGCGACCCTGAGACGCTTGGCGACACCGCCGTGCAGCGCAGTGTCAGCCTTCGCAACCTTCATACTCAGCAGCGTGGCATCGCCCTCCGACGGTTCGCCGCCGCCGTGCACCACATCCGCGTCCGTTGTTAGCCTGTCCACCGTCCGCGTACGCTTGGGCGCCTCGATCTCCGCGGCCACGAACGCGCCCTTGCCGACGAAGCCAACGTCGGACTTGAGACCATCGATCGCGTTGGGCGTGCCACCTTTCGACAAAGCAGCACGCACTCGCTCGGGCACGGCAGCTCCAGGATGACCCAGCGTTCGGCGGTCTGCTCGGTAGACCTCCCATTCGTTGACCAACGAGTGTTGACTGGCGGAGCGGAGAGCACGCCGACCCTCCTCCGTGGTCGCCTTGCCCTGCCCGCCCAACTGGCCCCCAGCATACTCGAGCGTCGCTTCGAAGCCCTTTAGCATGCTGCACGCCGCGCAGGGCGCCCCCCCCCTGACGGCTGGATCGCACGGCTTCACGAGCAGCCGCCTCCACTGCGCAGCGCAGCAAATGGTCTTGCATCGCACGCCGCGCGCCCGACGCCAACACCGCGTCGAGGACCGCCGCCAAGGCAACCTTGGTAGCACCTCGGCACCATCCGTCCCAACGCGCCCGCAGCGAGACAGGGATCGCGAGAAACGAAACCGTCACAGGTTTGGTAGGTGTGAGCCCCTGGGCCCCAAATCCAACCCGCCCGAGCCCGAATGGCTATGGAGGGAGGGAGGGGGGAGGGGCAGGAGGGTCAGGAAGACAGGGCAGGAGTAGCAGTGCTCGAAGAGAGCCGCCCCAGGCAGGCCTTTGCTCGGGCAGGGCCCGCATTCATTCATATTCTCGCAGGGGCACCGCAACCGTTCCCAGGCACTGTTGTGGATAGGCTTTTGGGGGGTTCGCCCCCAACGCGCCCAACATTAACCCGACTGTCCTCCACCTCCTGCTCCTGGTCCTGCTCCTCCTCCTCCTCCTCCTCCTCCTGGGTTTGCTCTGCATGGGATTCGAGAGTAGAAGTGAGTTATTCGCTCCGCAGCTTTTCTCTCATACAGAAGGGGGGCATCCTGGGGCCCGGGCTGTGCATGGCCCTGGCGCTGTGTCCGCGACACGCCGCAGCCGGCGTGGTGGGCGCAGTGCTGCTCAGGCGCGCCGACCTGGTGTATCAGACCTTCCTGCAGCAGGCCGGGCTCTGGCAGGGTGCGGGCCACGCAAGTGCCGAGGCGGCCGCCCAGGCCGCCTACTCAGCCGCGGACGCGGCCAGCCTGGCCGCCGCGGCGGCGGCAGCGGCGGGCGAGGCCCTGACCAACTGGAGCGGGCCGCTGGAGGGCGTGAGCTGCCCACAGGCGCCAGCCTGCACCTGCTCGTGCCCGCAGGTGCCGGAGTGTCCACCCGAGGCGGACGGTGACGTGAAGGAGGGCTTGTGGCACCTGGCGGGAGGCGCGGTGGGCCACATCGTCCTGGTGCTGGGAGGCCGCCTTTGCGCCTGTCGTCGACGAGATGGCGTCCGAGCCCAGGCGCCGCCGAGCTCCCCTGCGGGAGTCGCGCCCGACGGCCTCGGCTCCCCCGGGCGTGCCGCGCTGGCAGGGCCTGGCCGCCCTGCTCCTGGAGACAGGGCACGCCGCCGTGGAGGAGGAGTTCTGCAATGAGCTCCTCGTGGGGAGCTATGTGGCCGTGTTCTACACGGAAGATGATGTGTGGCATGAGCGTCAAATTTTGTTCCAGGTCGACGCCCAGCACTGGGTGGTGTACACCCCCGACGGCGACATGTACATAGAGAATGTGATGGCTGGGGATCCCGACTCGGGTCCGTGCCGCGCGGCCATCCTGCCTGCTGACGGCACCCTCCCGTTCTTCCTCAGGGGCAAGACCTACAGGTTCCGTGACTTCCCGGACGAGCAGCGGCTCCTCGACCTGATCAATGAGGGGTACCAGCTCGCCGTGTCCGAGGGCGGCGAGGTCGTGGGCCCGACGGCGTACACCGACGCCATGGGGCAGAGGCAGCCGTTGGAGTTGCACGAGGGCATCTACCGGCGTGCGCGCGGGCGCCCGCTACCAGCTCTGCCGCCTCCTCTTGAGCCCCCAGAGGGCGGAGACCTCCTCGTAGGGGGCACCCGCACTCCCGAGGTCCTCGACGCGGATGTGGAGCTGGTGAACGATGGAGGCCGCTGGGTGTCCCTCGTCACGATCGGTTCCGTGCGCCGTGGCGACCCTGTGGAGCTCGAGACGGGAGACAAGGTGCTGGGCGAGCGGGCGCTCCACCGCATGCCAAATGGTGAGGTGATCGCCGCGTGTCGTCCCGACTACCTGAGCAAAGTCGTGGATGGAGGTTCGGCTGCCGACGGCGGCGGCGCTCGAGTGCTCGCCCCCGTCTCCTATGACCCAGGCGGGCGACGCTGGTGTGACTTTGCGAACGCTGTCAGCAAGATGAGCACAGAGCCGATGGAGGACTTCCCGCTGGAGGGCGAGAGGTCGGCGCTGTGGCTCTTCAAGTACGTTCGTGATCACGGCGGCACGTTCGACGCCCGCCAGACCAAGTGGGCCACGGAGCAGAAGATCGCCATCGACTCCACCGCTTACCTTATCCACGATCTCGTGGGTCTGGCGCTGGATCTCTCTGTGTGCTATGACCAGTGCGATGGCGGCAACCTGGCCAGTGTCGAGGTGTTGGCGCGGCTGTACCAGCTGGTGGAGGAGACCAACGGGACCCTCCAGCTGGAGGGCCTGGAGCACTACGTGGGCCGCGACCCCACAGGCGGCCTACGCCGCGGGGTCGCGCTCAACCCTGGGCTCGCGCACTATGCGACCGACAAGAAGAGCAAGGAGACGGAGGTGATGAAGCAGCGCCGCAAGGCCCGTGAGGAGTCGGCGGCGGCCAAGAAGGCCTCCAAGGGTGGCGGCAAGAAGGATCAGGAGCACCCCTGAGAGAGGGGCGCACCACGGCGGACCCCGGTCGTGGTGCGAATGCCAAGGGGTCAATTCACCGTCGCGATGCTGCTGCTGGTGCAGGAGATGGCCTTCTTCCTTTGGCCTGTCCTCGGCAGGAGTGTTACACTGGTGGCTGCACTGCGCTGTCGCGGGGCACGGAGCAACGTGTTCGGCGGCGGCTCAAGGTCCAAGAGAGGACCGCCGAGACGATTCGAGCCATCAATCGCCTGGCAGGTTTTGACACGCCCGAGGTGGAGTCCGTCGGGGAGCTGACCGGCCCCTCCGCCCTGGTCTACAGCGACGCGCGGGCGCTTCACGCGGCTCATGCCCCCGAGCCGGTGAATTCGATCAGTCCGCAGGAAGCCTTTCATGAGCTTCTCGGGAGCACGCCCTCGTCGTGCATGGATGGCGACGAGGTCTCTCCAGTTCGGCCCTACTCGCGCGAGTTGGTGAGCTGGCCCAAGAGGGGCAACCGCCCGGTCCCGCTGCCGACGAACGCGCCACCGGACCTGCTCCGGTACATGACAGAGGGCCAGCGAGATGTGTGGCTGCGGCAGCCGCAGGAGGTGGCGCAGGTCCGGCAGGTTGAAGGCCTGCCGACGCTGTACGGCGACACAGCTTTGAAGGAGAATCGCGACGCCTACATCGGCTTCGTGAAGGATGGCCTTGCTCGGGGGATCTTCCGCCTGAGCCGCCGTCGGAAGGAAGCCGTCAAGCTCTTTTTCGTGAAGAAGAAGAAGGACTCTAGCATTCGGATCGTTATCGATTGCCGACGGAGTAACCAACACTTTCGAGCCGCGCCGAAGGTCCACCTCTTCTCGGGCAGCAGCTTCGGGGAGGTCGAGGTCTCGGCGCACCAGCAGATGTGGTACGCAGGGGGTGACGTTCAGAACGCCTTCTACCAGCACCAGTTGCCGTGCTGGCTGCAGCCCTACTTCGGCCTCGACTGCGTCCGGGCCTCGGAGCTGGGCGTTGCTGAGCTGGACGGCCAGGCCGTGCGGGGCGACCAGATCCTGTACCCCCTGATGAACGTGGTTCCGATGGGGTGGAAGTGGGCCCTCTTCATGGTGCAGCGGATCCACGAGCATGTTCTCGATGGAGTTCCCGAGCTGGGGCCGCGGCGCCGAGCGGTCGATTTTCGGCCTCCGCCACGAGTCGAGGACGGGGCGGTGCACACAGTGTATGTGGATAACGTGCTGATCGAGGGGTTCGACCCAGTGGAGGTGACACGACTCCGCGAGGCTGCATGCGCCGCGCTGCAGCAGGCGGGCTACGCCACTCACGACGAGTCCGACGCTGCGGCGAGCATGGAGATGCTGGGCGTCGAGCAGACCGGCTGTCCAGGACGTGTGCAGGTGTCCGCGAAGCGCTACTGGCGGTTGTGGCAGGCGCTGGGGTGGATCCGGCGCAGGCAGCCTCCTCTGAGCAGCCGTCAGCTTGAGCGTCTGATTGGCCACTTCACTTTTGTGGCTCTCATTCGGCGAGAGCTGCTTAGCACGTTGCGCGCCAGCTACGATTTTTCCAGGGGTGATTTTACCAAGCCCCGGAGCCTGTGGAAAAGTGTCCTCCAGGAGCTCAGAACCATCCAGGGCCTTTTAATTTTTGCGTCCAGGGACTTGGATCCTCACTGGTCCTCGGACGTGTTGGCCTACGATGCGCGCGAGTCTGGGCATGCCGCGGTGAGGGGGGCCTGGACGGTGAGGGGTGTACAGCAAGTAGGGAAGTGGCACGAGCGTTGGAGGTATAAGAATGAGGACGATCCCGATCGTACAAATCCCCGTGGTCACGCTCTGGGACAATCTTATGACAAACAAACAGATGTGGAAGATATGTCAAACAAGGAGATCGATTACAGTGATGTGTACCTAAACCGTGAATTCCCCGACGTTCCCCCCCAGCTTGTGCAGTCAATTCGGTGGACGCTGGAAAGATATCAACCGGTTTTTACTCGTGAGCCAATTCATGTTACTGAAATGCGGGGCTTCTTGGGATCTATTCGTCAAGCGGTTCGGGGCCCTGGAGATTGGGGCAAGTCGTGGCTGATGTTGGGAGACAACTTGGGGCTCATCCTCTCGCTCTCGAAAGGTCGGTGTCGAGACCCTCGTTTACTCATGCTTCATCGTAAGGCAGCAGCGCGGGCTCTAGCTACCAAATCGAGATTTGTATGTAGATGGCTACCCTCTGAGTTGAACCCAGCCGATGGACCATCCCGCAAGGGAGAGCCATCGGCGCCAGCTACGCGACTGGCGAGTGGGCCACCCCAGCCATCGGCGGTCCGCACCGACGACTTCCCACGTGGTGCAGGCGCTCTCTCGTGTGCCGTTGAGGTCGGGCTATCCACTGACGGACAGGCGGCAGAAGACCGAGCCAGACGTGGAGAGCCTCCGTCGTGCCAACCAGCCTCCTCCTGGGCATCCAATCCTGGGCTTGCTGGAGGCCAAGAGCGCGAGCCTCGACAAGGAGCAGCAGCTGCGGGAGCGTCGCGCCGCACGTCGGCAGGACGTTCACGGGCCGCTCCGGGACACGACGAGGGGACCAGGCATCACCGAGGAGGCCTCGCTGACGCAGAAGACACGAGATCAGTATCAACGACTACTTCACGATTTTCAGGAGCGGCAGCAGATGCAGGACCTGAGTGTGCATCCCGCCATCCTGGACGCGCAGATCGTGATCTACTTCGACAGACTTTTTCTGGAGGGAAAGGCCCCATCAACGGGGGAGAAGCTCGTCGCGGCCATCCAGTACGTAGTGCCGAGCTACAACGCCAAGGGCATGATGACCTTGCCGCGGGCGACCAGGGCCCTGCGCGGCTGGCGCCGTCTGGTGCCGCGCCGCACTCGGCGGCCCTTGCCCTGGGAGGTAGTGACCGCCATCGCGATGGGGCTCCTCCGGGTCAACGGCCTGGGGATGGCGCTCTGTTGGCTTCTCATGGTGGACGCATGCATGCGACCGGGCGAGTGCCTCGACCTCCAGACAAGCCAGATCCTACGAGGGAACGCACAACAGCACATGGAGCGAGCTGCGATCCTCCTGCATCCCGCCGAGAAGGGAATGCCCAGCAAGGTCGGGGCCGTCGACGAGAGTCTGATCATCAACCGGACCTGGCTCTCAGATGCCCTGACCAAGTACGCAGCGAGCCGGCCCCAGCGGGGGCCCCTGTGGGACTTCACGCTCAAGGAGTTGAACGCCAGCTTCCTCGCCGCCTGCATCCCCGCGGGCATCAGCAGCCTGAAGCCGGTCCTCTACATGGGCCGGCACTCGGGCGCCAGCCTGGACAGGCTGACCAACAGGCTGGACCTCGCCGAGGTGCAGCGTCGGGGCCGATGGCGGACGGGAGCGTCGGTGCGACGCTACGAGAAGCGGGCGCTCGTGCAGGAGGTCTACAACGGGCTCGACCAGAGGTCCAAGGCCTACTGCAACAGGAGCGCCAGCGAGCTGGAGGCAGCGATCGTTCGGGCCTGCGGCCACGTCAAGGCCATCAGAGGCGTGGGTTCTTCATGATCGAGGTGTTCAGTGGCTGCGGGGCTTTCTCCAAAGCCGCTAGGCGCCGCGGGGTGGAGGCCTTCCCCTTCGACGTCCTGCAGGGAGCCGCAGGGGACGTCACCCGCCGTCCAGTGCAGCGACGCATCCGACGGCTTCTGGCTCATCCTCGTTGTTTGGGCATCCCCCTGGCGCCGCCGTGCACCACGTACAGCAACGCTCGGAGGCCGATGATCAGAAGTCGTGAATTCATCGAGGGCCTCCCGACGAACACTCCGTCGGAGCAGGCCCAGGTCGCAGCAGGTACTTTTTTCATGAGGCTGACGGCCCAGCTCTGCAGGCTCGCTGTGAAGTGTGGAGTTCCTTGGGTGATTGAGAATCCTCAGATAAGTCTGATCTGGCACACTGTCGAGTTTCGCAGCCTTCGTAATCTTGCCAAACAGCAGTCGCTCACGACTCACCTCTGTGGTTTCGGAGCGCGGTGGAAAAAACCTACGACGTTGTGGTCCTGGGGTGTGGAGAACATGTACAAGATGGTGCACAAGTGCCCCAGTTTTGGTTGTCAACCCTGTATATTCTCGGCGAAACCTCATATCGCGCTATCGGGACCAGACCCCACAGGGGTCCGCTGGACAAAGCGAGCAGCTGCATACCCTCCTCGGTTTGCATCCGTCTTGGCCGGCCTCTTTCTCGACTCCGGTTTCACCAAGCTGTTGCAGGAATCAAAGCAATCTTATTTTCCAGTGGTGCCATGGGTGAGCGAAAGACTCAGACAGGCTTCGTGATCGTGAACCGCATACGGAGTTTGCGAATTTCGGGCTGTGTACTCTGGGCTTCGCCTTGCACGTCCCTGGAATATCATGGCCGACCAGCTCGCCTTCGAGATTTTCAACAGATGTGGGTTCAAGAAAAACGGAATGGCACGATCGATGGGTTTGCTCTGCATGGGATTCGAGAGTAGGAGTGAGTCATTCGCTCCGCAGCTTTTCTCTCACCGTCCACAGGCCCCACCACCACCCTCTTTAAAGTGGCTCCCCCAAGTTTTTGGTGTCTCCAAGGGCCCTCCGAGGTCAACCCCGAGGGCCCTCTAGAAATAACGATCTGCGCTTCTCACCCTGGCACCACACAAGTGGGCTGTGTACTCTGGGTTTCGCCTTGCACGTCCCTGGAATATCATGGCCGACCAGCTCGCCTTCGAGATTTTCAACAGATGTGGGTTCAAGAAAAACGGAATGGCACGATCGATCTTCTTCCTCCTCCTCAGTCGGTCGGTAGTCCGGCGCGCAGGAGGTTTGAGGCGCATCCTCTTCCTCGTCCTCCTCCTCCTGCTCCTCCTTCTCTTCCTCCTCCTCTTCCTCCTCCTCCCCTCCGCCTCCTCCTCCTCCTCTTCTTCCTCCCCCTCCTCCTCCTCCCATGACATCCTCTCGCTGTGAAGGAGTAGCACTCGATGATGTTTGCCCGTTGTCGGCCTCTGGGGGCCCTCGCCAGGCTTTGGGATCGTTAACGAAACGACCCTGGATGAAAAAAAATGATCCCCAGGAAGGGACACATTTTTGAAGGGTAAGCAAATCGAACAAAGAACGCGACGTCGGATGTCCGATGTAGAGGCGGAAACGGAATAAACACAAAGTTCCGTAGACTGTTTGGGAACCGCGCTGCAACAAAAAGCACGGCGGATGATGTCTAAGTTTTCTCGGTTCGAAACCATTTTGGTTCAAGAGTGTTAGCACGATTTGTTGGCACGAACTACACTCCCATGTATAATTGCCGCCTGCAGCACAGGATGGCAGCGGCAACTACAGGAGGAGGACGCCGAAAACTGAAGCCTCAGGGCAGCAACCCAAAAGCTCCAGACACGAAATTGGCGAATATGTTGGACGACGAATGAGCATGGGAAGAGGAGGGGAGGAAGAGGAGATGAACACGAAAGTCAGGATGATGGCAATCATGGTCATGACGACGGGGTTGGTGAAGGACATGCCAGACGCCAAGACAGAAACGGAGGGGAAGGTGGCCAGGATAGAAGACACTCTTCATTTGAATGGTCAAGTCCTCGTTTCCCACGGCAACATTGCAGAGCTATTGTTGGATTTTCGTGTGTTTGAACGAGACGTGGCGGCCTGAATCTAGAGGGTCTGTTATTTGTCATGCTGGATGCGTTTTCGCCAAATGCGGCTGGGACCAATAGGAGACGTCGGCATACTTTCTTTTTTCTGGCTAAGGGGAAACACGCGCGCAGTTCTTCATCGGAGGCTCACCGGGAAGCGCATTGCAACCGATTTCGGTTCGCGCTGCCCTTCTACGTCAGAAGGGAAAGGGGGTAGCAGTGAAGAGGGCGACATATGAAACGCCAGTGGTGCACACGGGCCTGGGAAGGCCAATGCAAGAGGACATCGGTTGACAGGTTGGGCCTGCTTCGGACGGCTGAACACTGCGAGCGCGGTCGTTGCTTCAAACGCATACAGGCGCATGTGTAAATACCCGGCGCAATTATAATATGTTGGTCATTGTGGAACTGTTGCCGTGTGTGATGGACGCTAGCACGAATTTGTCACTGAGCATGAGAAGCGACCACACATTTGTTGTTAACACACGAAATATTGGATTCACTGCCAGCACGGGCACTAAATAGGAACGAGAACCCTTGTTTTCAATATATGTATGTATGTATGTATGTATGTATGTATGTATGTATGTATGTATGTATGTACGTACGTACGTACGTACGTACGTACGTACGTACGTGCGTGCGTGCGTACGTATGTATGTATGTATGTATGTATGTATGTATGTATGTATGTATGTGTATATATATATATATGTACTCCTACGTTCCAGCCCTTTTTTGGCGGCGCCTTGGCGTTGCGGCTCCTTGTTTTGAAAGCCACCCCACCTCTGCCAGAGCCTCGGGAACGGGAGGGCCCA